TATATCTTGGAGATTAATCCTTTGTTGATTTGTTTGCAAATATTTTCTCCCATTATGAGGGTTGTCTTTTCATCTTGTTTATGGTTTCCTTTGCTGTGCAAAAGCTTTGAACCATCATTAGATCCCATTTGTTTATCTTTGTTTTTATTTCCATTACTCTAGGAGGTGGATCAAAACAGATCTTGCTGTGATTTATGTCAAAGAGTGTTCTTCCTATGTTTTCCTCTAAGAGTTTTAGAGTGTCCAGTCTTACATTTAGGTCTCGAATCCACTTTGAGTTTATTTTTGTGTATGGTGTTAGGGAGTGTTCTAATTTCATTCTTTTACATGTAGCTGTCCAGTTTTCCCAGCACCACTTATTGAAGAGACTGTCTTTTCTCCATTGTATATCCTTGCCTCCTTTGTCATAGATTAGTTGACCATAGGTGCGTGGGTTTATCTCTGGGCTTTCTATCTTGTTCCATTGATCTATGTTTCTGTTTTTGTGCCAGTACCATATTGTCTTGATTACTGTAGCTTTGTACTATAGTCTGAAGTCAGGGAGTCTGATTCCTCCAGCTCCGTTTGTTTCCCTCAAGACTGCTTTGGCTATTTGGGGTCTTTTGTGTCTCCATACAAATTTTAAGATGATTTGTTCTAGTTCCGTAAAAAAATGCCATTGGTAATTTAATAGGGATTGCACTGAATCTGTAGATTGCTTTGGGTAGTATAGTCATTTTCACAATATTGATTCTTCCAATCCAAGAACATGGTATATCTCTCTATCTGTTGGTATCATGTTTAATTTCTTTCATCAGTGTCTTATAGTTTTCTGCATACAGGTCTTTTGTTTCCCTAGGTAGGTTTATTCCTAGTATACAGCAGGTTCTTATTAGTCATCAATTTTATACACATCAGTGTATACATGTCAATCCCAATCACCCAATTCATCACACCACGACCACCACCCCCTGCCGCTTTCCCTCCTTGGTGTCCATACGTTTGTTCTCTACATCTGTGTCTCTTTCTGCCTCCCATGAAGTTTTGATATGGCAGTCTATATATGTACAAGGTTGTTTTAAGTTGCTGGCTTCTTTCCCACCTAGAGGAGTTCCTTTCGCATTTGTTGCAAAGCTGGTCCGGTGGTGCTGAATTCTCTTAGCTTTTACTTGTCTGTAAAGCTTTTGATTTCTCGGTCTAACCTGAATGAGATCCTTGCTGGGTAGAGTAATCTTTGTTGTAGGTTCTTTCCTTTCATCACTTTAAATATATCATGCCACTCCCTTCTGGCCTGCAGAGTTTCTGGTGAGAAATCAGCTGATATCCTTATGTGAGTTCCCTTGTATGTTGTCATTTTTCCCTTGTTGCTTTTAGTATTTTTTCTTTAATTTTTGTCAATTTGATTACTATGTGTCTTGGTGTGTTCCTCCTTGGGTTTATCCTGTCTGGGACTCTCTGTGCCTCCTGGACTTAGGTGACTGTTTCTTGTCCCACGTTAGGGAAGTTTTCAGCTATTATCTCTTCACATATTTCCTCAGGTCCTTTCTCTCTCTCTTCTCCTTCTGGGACCCCTATAATGTGAAAGTTGGTGCATTTAATGTTGTCCCAGAGGTCTTTTAAGACTGTCTTCATTTCTTTTCATTCTTTTTTCTTTTTTCTGTTCCATGGCAGTGATTTCCACCATTCTGGCTTCCAGCTCAGTTATCTGTTCTTCTGCCTCACTTATCCTGCATTGATTCCTTCTGCTGTATTTTTTATTTCAGTTATTTTATTGTTTGTCTGTTTGCTTGTTCTTTAGTTCTTCAAGGTCTTTGTTAAACATTTCTTGTATCTTCTCAACCTGTGCCTCCATTCTTTTTCTGAGATCTTGGATCATCTTTCTTATCATTACTCTGAATTCTTTCCTGGGTGGATTGCCTATCTCCACTTCACTTAGTTGTTCTTCTGAGGTTTTATCTTGTTCCTTCATCTGGGAAATATTCCTCTGCTGTCTCATTTTGTCTAACTTTCTGTGATTGCGGTTTCCGTTCCACAGTCTGCAGGGTTGTAGTTCTTGTTGCTTATGCTGTCTGCCCCCTGGTGGATGAGGCTGGTCTAAGAGGCTTGTGCAGGCTTCCTGGTGGGAGGGACTGGTTCCTGCCCACTGGTGGGTGGAGCTGGGTCTTGTTCCTCTGATGCACAGGGCTGTGTCGGGGGGGGGGGGGTTCAGCTGGCAGTTGTGTGGTCAGGAAGACTTTAAGCAGCCTATCTGCTGATGGGTGGGGCTGTGTTCCCACTTGGTTGGCCTGAGGTGACCCAGCACTGGAGCCTACATGCTATTGGGTGGGGCCAGGTGTTGGTGAAAATATGGCAGCCTCCAGGAGGGCTCACACCAATGAGTACTCCCGAGAACTACCGCCACCAGTGTCTTTGTCCCCACAGTGAGCTACAGCCGCCCCCTGCCTTTGCAGGAGACCCTCCAACACCAGCATATAGGTCTGGCCTAGGCTCTGAGGAGAGGTCACTGCTTTTTTCCCTGGGTCCTGGTGTGCACAAGACCTTGTGTGTGCCCTCCAAGAGTGGAGTTTCTGTTTCCCCCAGTCCTGTGGAATTCCTGTGATCAAATCCTGCTGGCCTTCAAAGGCAGATTCTCTAGGTCTCTTCCTCCTCCCATTGCCAGACCCCCAGGCTGGGGAGCCTGATGTGAAGCTCAGAACTTTCACTCCTGTGGGAGAACTTCTGTGATAGTTTTCCAGTTTGGGGGTTGTCCACTTGGTGGGTATGGGATTTGATTTTATCACGATTGCGCCCCTCAAACTGTCTCGTTGTGGGTTCTTCTTTGTCTTTGGATGTAGGACATCTTGTTTGGTAGGTTCCAGCATTTTTTCATCAATGGTTGTTCATCATTTAGTTGTAATTTTGGTGTTTTCATAAGAAGAGGTGAGCTCACATCCTTCTACTCTGCCACCTTGTCTCTGGAGGCTTTTTTAATTCATTTTTTTTATTGAAAATACACATAACATAAAAGTTACCATCTTAACCTTTTAAGTGTACAGTTCAGTGGCATTAATAAGTACATTCATATAGTTGTGCAGCCACATTCGTATAGTTGTGCAACCATCACCATTATCCATCTCCAGAACTCTCTTTATCTTGAAAAACAGAAACTCATTCTCCCCTCCCCTCAGCCCTGGCCACCACCTTTCTATAGTATCCTCTGTTCCTGTGAATTTGACTACTATAGGGAGTCACATAGTATTTGTCTTCTTTTGTGACTGGCTTATTTTACTTAGCATGATGTCCTCAAGGTTTATCCATGTTGCAGCATGTGTCAGACTTTCCTTCCTTTTTAAGGCAATGTAATAGACCATTCTATATATATACCACAGTTGTTTATGCATTCATCTGTCAGTGGACACTTGGATTGTTTCCACCTTTTAGCTCTTGTGAATAATGCTGCTCTGTACATGGGTGTACATATATCTCTTTGAGACCCTGCTTTAAATCCTTTTGGGTATATAACCAGAAGTGGAATTGCTGGATCACATGGTAATTCTATTTTTAATTTTTTGAGGAACCACCATATTGTTTTCTACAGCAGCTATACCGTTTTACATTCCTACTAACAGTGCACAGGGGTTCCAATTTCTCCACATCCTTACCAACAACTTGTTATTTTCTGGTGTTTTGATAGTAACCATCCATATGGGTGTGAGGTGATATTTCATTATGGTTTTGATTCAGGAGACTATAGCTTATCACAGAGTTATAATTTTTTTCTCTGATTCTAAAAAAAAACATAGATAATTTTTTTTGTAAACTGTGGAAAATATGAACAGTACAGTGGAGATTATCTTCTCAGAAATAATTATTATCAACACGAGGTCAGGTAAGCTTTCTTGCTCTCATGCAGTGTATGTTCTCTCTATACTATTTTTTTTAATATGGTAGATGTCAAACTATCTGTACAGAATTTTATTCTACCTTTTTTCACTTAATCTCATGTCATGAGTAGTTTTCCACTTTATTCAAAGTTTGATACCATGCAGTTTTATCTAGTACACACACTTTTTATGCAAAATGCTGAAAACTCTCATTCTGGGGTTTTAGAAGCCATACTGGCAGGGACGTCAACAGGCCGCTTGCCTGGTGAGAGCATGTAGCTGAGGCAGCCCCAGTTCTGTGGTGGGCCTGGCAGACTTGCTTTCTGTAGACAGTGACCCTCAGCCTCTTAGGAATAGCTGACTTCTTATAGGCTCAGCACTGTTTGGAGTGCTTTGCATATATTAACTCACTTAATCCTCACAACAACTCTACGAGGAAATGCTCTTCTTATACCTGCTTTACAGACGAGACTAAGACCTCAGAGACTACGCATTACCCAAGCACGCCCAGGTGGTGGGGGGGAGGGCCAGGATGGGAGCCCAACGTCTTACCATGCAGACCCTCGATTTAGCCAGATCCTCTAAGGCTTTCTACTGTGGGGGAGAGAATACGGCTTGTCATGGCACCTCCCCACCAAAACTGCAACAATCTGAACAGCATGGTTTGGTCACCTCCTCTTTACATACCAGGGAAATTGCTGATAAGTTTTCTCAGTGTGCTTTCTGATCTTTGCTTCACGCAAGACCGACTATGTCTTCAAGAATGTCCGGCACCCCTGCGCAGGGTCAAATGGATATTGGGAGTCTGGCACCGCCACAGGCCTTCCTTTCAAGCTGCCGCGAACCTGTATATCCTGCAGGTGACATTTCGGGGATAGTTGTGAGCTTAGGCTCTGACTGACAGCTCTCCAAAAGCTCAGGGGTGAGACTTGGTTTCTAATTGTGCAGCTGTCTGATTTGACTTCTGTTCACAAGCCTTCTACTGCTTTTTTTCCTCCTGAGCAGCTCACTAAGGGGCTGGTGGAGGGATTCATCTCCAGGCCACAGCTCCAGGGATGGAGCAGAAACATCTGCCTGTTGAGTATACACACCATGGCCATGAGCAGAAAATAAGGGATGAGCATGAGGTAACTTTCACTGTCTTCCCTCTGCCCTCAGGATGTGGGGCAATCAAATCGGTGATGAAGGAGCAAGGGCCTTCGCTGAGGCTCTGAGGAACCACCCAAGCTTGACTAACTTGAGGTAACTGCTGTCTTCAGGGCCAACCTGGTCACTCTGTGTTCCTCTTGTTTTACCAGAGGAGGAGCCAGGGGAAAGAGGGTGGCTGGCATTCCTAACAGGGAAGGTATTTGTGTGTGTGGTTTTTCTATTTCTTTTTAAAAACGTTTTTATCGACATAGAAGAGGCATACAGTTAAGTAGAAGAGGCATACGGTTAAGTATATCACGCTTAAGTTTTCAGCTCCGTGATGTGACATGCGCACATACCAGTCAGATCAAGACTAGACATTGCCGCCCCTCTGCAGTCTTCCCGTGCCCCTTGGGGGTTGGGGAGGAATTCTTCAGTCCAGACAAAACTGAAAGAGAGACTGGGCCGCAAATTCCTGCCCCCTCCTCATTTCTCAGGATGGTGCTGGGACAAGATGGGACCCTTCACCTCTGTAAACAGACTTGGTCCTCCCTGGCCCTCCTTTAGGCCTCTGGCCCAATCTCTGAGACTCAGGGGTCTCCTGGTTGCCCGTGTCCTTCCTGTCACTGACAAAGGGTTTAATACGGTGGGGGCAGTAGCAGAGTTCCTTCCTTACAAGAACAGAGGCAACTTCTCCAGGCCTCACCGACAGGCGCCTGTAAGGTGTCAGCCTCCGAAGCAGAGCTCGCCAGGCGTCCTCAGCCCGTGTGACCAGGTCTTGCCATGTTCCGTTTCCTGTCTGGCCTCTCCTCGAGCAGTCTGGTGATTGGCCTCGTCCTGGGCTCTGGAGCGGCAAAGGCTGAGTGGCTGCTGGTGAGGCTGGCACTTCTGCTTCCTGCTTCAAGTCAGCCCAGGCAGGAACCACCTCCAGGTGGAGTCTTGCCAGCTGTTTTAGTTGCTGAAACCAAAGCCAAATGTAGACGTGTTTTTAATAACCTACCCCAAATGTTTTTCCTTCCTAGTCTTGCATTCAATGGCATTTCTACAGAAGGAGGAAAGAGCCTCGCGTGGGCCCTGCAGCAGAATGCGTCTCTGAGAATATTCTGGTAATGACCAGAGTCATTTTGAACGGTTGGGTCTCAGGGATTTTTCCAAAGACTGTGCACAGCCTGGAATCTTAACTGAAAGACTGCCTCTCCGTTGTAAAAGCTCTAGGCCTTTCCTCAAAGGAAGGTTTATAATTTCATTTCCTCCTAGAGAAGAAAATAGCCATTCCCAGAAGCACAAACAAGTACAGAATGGGTGGAATGGGTCCCAGGAACATGAGTTTGAGACCTTAGCCTTCTTTGCCCACCCTAGGCCTCAGGAAAACCAGAAGGCTAGCTATTCTGTCAGGATATCCTCGGAACACCCTCAGATATGCCTTGAGGAGTCCAACTTTCATGCACTTGTCTCAGAACTTTCTCCCTTCCTCCTCTTAAACTGCCCCCCCCCCCCCCCC